CAAATTTTAACATGGCTATAACTCCTATAAAACAGAAAGTTGAAACGTTCTGAAAGAAGCTCGATTAATATTGACCAAAGTCTAGTTCATATGCAAAATATGAGCTAAATCTATTTTTCCTTCCCCAAACCAGCGAGTGGATTTTACTTGTACTTTACGAGTGGATTTTAGTGGATTTTGGAGTGGCACAGCCACCATGTGCGACGCCTTGGTGCGCCGCAAGAAGATATTGCTCGCCACGTTGGCTGAATGGCTGGCAGTCCACTCAGATGGTCAGCCTCTCCGCCCCGACAGATAAAGTTTTGGGAATTTCGAGTAGTCCTCCTACTCCAGCCTGCAAACTGCCTTAATATGGACGATGAATTCAGAGGCAAGAATCTACTGCTTGGATACCATTCTGCTTTCGTGAACAGTAGCTAGATTGGTGAAAACATTTGAGTTTCGGGATTTTAGAAGAGTGTGAGCACTGGGAAGTTACAGGTAGTGTTGAGTGTGTTCATGGGAAGGACTCGTACTCTTCCCATAACTCTTTTATTAAGTAGGCTTCGTGAAGCAGGACTGCACTTAAAATAGATTACTATTTTAAGTGCAATAATGCGTAACGAAGAGTATTAAAGTAAGGAGAGTGAATATATTATCACAGTTTGGCGTTTGAGAAGCGGTTGTTGCAGGACTCGGTGAATGTTCACAAGTTGAGTGGGGCGGTTTGTTTATTTTAGTTTTGAGTCGAACATTGTTTAGGGACTACGTTTCACCCACCCGCCCAGTCCCTTTGAGTTCCTAGCTCGTTTCCGGGCCTACGGACTCGTACTCTTCCCATAACTCTTTTATTAAGTAGGCTTGGTGAAGCAGGACTGCACTTAAAATAGATTACTAATATACAGGCCGTTCGACCCGGATTTTTAGGGGGCCGCATCATTATATATGCAGGTAATTACTATGCAAGGGGGCCGCACCATTAAAAATTCAGGGCGGCGGATCATCATTAGCATAGAATGAGGTGATACAATAGAAGGATTAAGATTGGCTTACTATGAATAGTTCGAGTCCCTCCCATGGCAAAATTATTATCGAAAATATATAGCAGAGTTACTTATAGCCGTATCTTCGCTCAGAAGAGATAAATTTCTACATGTATATTGAAGGTTTTTTCGTATGTTTACAAAATTATAGCGAGGAATCTATTCGTCACAAAAATCGAGACATATTTTAAACAGAACTAAACAGTTGCTAATCCCAGGTTAACATGGTTGTCAACGTCGTTGTTATGGTCAATATTTGCATGTTGTTCAACATGTTGAAGGAAAAAAACTTTTAGAACAGTTGTAATATATTTGGCCATAAAAAATAAATATATTTTTTATCAAATATGCGGTCGTTATATACGTTTCTATGTGTTGTCAGTCATTAGCGATGCTTGGGTGCATGCATATATTAACGTACAAAATATTTGTACACTAATCAGGCGAGCGGGTTAGACAATTCGCGCGGGCGGAAAGAGCGGGCTTTGCAGGCAAAAGCTTGCACAAGATTTCAGTTTTAAAATACATTTATTTCTTCCAGACGTTTCACATAATTTAGTACGGTCTACTTCTAAGAGCGTAACGTCTAGGTGTTTTTGTTATTTTTAAAGAGTTCTCATATTCTTGTCTATCTTCTGGGGATAACTTTGCAAGTTTCTCCGGCTTCATTGGAATATATTTTGGTCTGTCGCTCAATATAAAACGTTCATAATCCTCTCTTGCTTCCGGAGTCATTCGTGCTAGGTCACGTTCGGTCCAATCTGCTTGGTCGACCCAATTGTGCAAAAAGTTGCGCTTGAGTTTTGGTCGTTCCTCTTCTGTTGGTGCCTTGGTGGTGGCGTAAGGAAATTAGGTTTAGGAGTACCAGGCACTGGTGGTGCTACCTCAACAGATTCATTGGGTTGTGGTATCTCTGCAGGCGCTTGTGGGATACTTTGAGCAGAGGTTTCAGGAATTCCAGGAGAAGAATGAGCCATCTTATTTTTGAATACAAGAAACCGGTTTAGCTGATCAGAATATAATTTGCTTTTTTCCACGGTGCTAAGCTGTGGCGCTTCCATGATTTCTTTCATTCGCTGCTCGGCATCATACATGGCATTTAGAAGCGGTGGTTGTCGATACGACTGTTTTTGTAAAAACTTTGCAATCTCGCCGGGAAGTATATTCGTCTTAAGTCGATCTTGATCACTCGTTGTTGGCTTTAAATCCAACAGCAAATGCCATGAGGTCGGCTCGTAGCATCTTCATAACTCCTCATACACTCTTGCACTCTTCCAGGATTTACTTGTCTGGCAAGCATAGAAATTTGTTGTTTATCTCTTGGTGACTTGAACAGCACAATATAATGGGCGTTTAGACTGATATTTCTCATTTATTTGCCATTATGGAATATATTTTGAACAATATAGATGATGGACAAATTTCGATGATGACTTCCTTTCGTAAAAAGATCAGAAATACATTTATCTTTGCCGGATTGTGCCATAAGATCATCCAATACGATCAAATTCCGTTGCGAAACGTCCAAGTAATCTGCGTTGTCGATATCGTCGGGAATGCCTTGATTAAACTCGATTCCAGGCATCGTCCTCATCATCAAAATAGGAGGGTTGCCATTGACCATAACACCAAATGATACGTTGAGGAGGTGGACTTATAGTTTGCTGTGCATTCTCCAAGAGAGATTTCACCCACATAGTCTTACCGCTTTGTGTACACCCGGCTACGATACACGTAAAAGGATGCTGCAAAACTGCAGATCCTGCTGAGATTCCAACTGGTTTGCTTTGAACATCTCCATGGGTATTCAAAGTATGACGCTTGAGGTTGCACGTGTTGAAAATGCTTTGGCACATATATTGCACGAAAAGGACATGTTCACACCACGAACGTCTAGCTGTAAGTGATAATAATATCCCTATCTTTATTTTCTTATCTTCCTTATCTTTATCTTCCTTATCTTTATCTTCTTTTCTTCCTTATCTTTATCTTCCTTATCCCTATCTTTATCTTCCTTATCCTTATCTTTATCTTCTTATCTTCCTTATCTTTATCTTCTTATCTTCCTTATCCTTATCTTCCTTATCCTTATCTTTTTCTTCCTTATCTTTATCTTCTTATCTTCCTTATCCTTATCTTTATCTTCCTTATCTTTATCTTCCTTATCTTTATCTTCTTATCTTCCTTATATTTATCTTCCTTATCCTTATCTTTATCTTCTTATCTTCCTTATCTTTATCTTCTTATCTTCTTATCTTCCTTATCTTTATCTTTTTATCTTCCTTATCCTTATCTTTATCTTCTTATTTTCCTTATCCTTACCTTCTTATTTTACTTATCTTTATCTTTATCTTCCTTATCCTTATCTTTATCTTCTTATCTTCTTTATCTTTCTTATCTGACATGCGCATGGAGCCAAGTTCGATAAGCTCAGAGCCGAGCTCTCAATAGCTCGGAGCCTTGTCTAAATTGCTTTCTCTCTTCCAACATAAGCCTCCTTATTGTTGTGTTTTACTCATTTGCTTCCAAACCGCCGAACAGAAATGATCAATCTTCTAAGGCACAAGCCATTTCTTGAACTGCTGGGCACGTCTGAGCCTGATCAACAACAAGCGCTACTGGAAACAGCAACCGCCGAGCAAGTACACAGCGTTTGTACAACTTCCCCCCTGCCTGTACGCAAATTGCGTTGGGGATAAAATTTCCTCAACTGTCGACTTGACCTGACTATTATAAACGAGCTTTTCGAAGGTCCTCGCAATTACAGGTGTAATATTTATTCCACGAAAGTCACCATCTTCCTTTGGTAAATCAACCTTTTGCAAGAGGGTTAATATTCGCTCTTTTCCATGAATCTGGCCAAGTATGTGATGAAAGGGACAAATTCCAGACGTTAGTTATAACTTCGGTTAGAATTTCCGCATGATCATTCCAAACCCAATAGGGAATATAATCGGGACCTGTTGCTGTCCTTTTTATTCTTTTCAAGGCATTCCATACCTGCTGTTCCGTAAAGCTAGGAATATCTACTTCATCACCAATAATTGAGAGCGTCGGTTCGACATAATTATCATCGTGGCAGAGTTCGCCAAAGTAGCGATTTAATCTTGTAAGTGATGCATTATCTAAAGTAACTCTTGATGACGATGCATTTCGCTGAGAAATATCATTCGTCTTTCTCCACCAAGTTCTACTTCCCACCAAGGCCCTAAAATTTCTTCTGTTTAGACAAATGACATCAGAAATCCTTTTGTTAATTAAACTGAGTCTATCCTTTTGCGACCGAGCAATTCTGGATTTAGATTTTAGCAAAGATTTAATTAAAGGACTCATCCAGTAAGGGTCACGTGACGAAATTGAGACTGTTTTTGTGGGCATACATTTATTCATATGATCCATGATCTTACGTTCAAGACAATTCACAGCGTCATTTACATTCGTGGACTGCGATACATCCTCCCAATCTTCTTTTGCTATAAGCTTTGTGGAAATCTTCCTTTCGATGCTTTCTACAATCCCGAAATTCAACCTTTCGGCGCATAGGTTTTAGTTTCGTTCCTGCTGGTAGAATAACCCCTATATATGTGGTCTGTTTTAGTTAACATATGTAAAGGATAACATTTTGAGAACAAATCTATTCTATTTGTAAGGCAGTTACTCAAACATGCGTTACCCCTTGTTGAAAAGTCGACCATTGCATCCCATCCTGGTAGTTCATCAAGGTGTTTTATGTCCAAACTGTTCAAATCCCCTCCACAAACAATTACAATGTCTGGATATTTGTCCAGAACGTCGTTAGAAATATTTATCAAATAATCCTATAAGTCGCTCTCCGGATAATTGTGCCTAGGTGGGTGATAAAGGCCATATATCAACATGCGGTTTCCTGTAGGTAACAGAAGTGTGACACCAAAAAGTTCGTACAAACTGGATCGATAAATATCAATAACTTTTAAGTTGTTCCGAACATATATTGCTACCCCTCCTTTTGCTCTCATATCGCGTCCTTCCCAACTTCTATCTCTTCTAAATATTGAATAATTGTGAATGGTCACCACAGCATCTGGCATTTCAGGTTTCAGGTGACTCTCGCTCACCACACATACATCTATATCGTTATTGACCAAGTCTGCCTCCAGTGCAACTACAGCTCGTACTCGATTTTTTGTTTTTGCCAGACTACATATGTTGATAAACATAAACTTAGGAACAGCAAAACCCGACTCTCTCGAAGGAACCTTTCTTGTGGATGTTAAATTAATAGGTACCAAGTTACTTCGTCTCTTTGAGTTAATGTTTGAAGTATTATTATTAGAATTACAGTGGTGATAATTTTGTCTCTGTGTAATTCTAACAGGAATAGCTAAGTTATTTTCTTATCATCCCATGAACAAATTCTAGGTAATTCAACCAATCTTTCTGATTTTGTTGTGGTTGATGGTTGGGCTGGAAATTTTGATAGGACTGGAAATTCTGATGAGGTCGATGATTCTGATGGGACCGGTAATTTTGATCGTATCGAAGGTTTGGGTAAGGGGGTGATTTGGGTGAGGCCGATGATTTAAACGGCGCCGTCGAGTATTTGTCAGGTGAGCGGAATGGAG